GAGGCTATTCATAAGTTCAAGTCAAATTTAGAGATTACTTTCAGTCCCTGGCTTCTTCTATCCTCCCCTTTCCCTTCCCCCTTCTCCCGAATTATTGTTTCCAAAAATTAAAACAAAATGTTTTGGGGTTTTCATTTGTTTAAAAAGCAACTTGCATTTTGAAAATTGCCAAAATATAAGTTTTGGAAGGGTGGGGTCGTTTGAAAGGACAGCATTGTCATTGCTGAATGAAAACCGCGGAAAGGAATGTGTCCTGGGAGACGCAGGGCGCTGGGGTGCAGGGCCCAGGGGATACTGCGACAGCAAAAAAGACCACAACCACAGCTCCCACCGCACAGCTCCAGCCTGTGCCTCCCATTCACCTATCTCCTTTCATTCTCCCAAATGGACAATCCTGCCCGCCTTGACCTTCTTCGACGGATTCATTTGACCAAGTCACTGTTTTTAATGCGGAGATGCTTCTGCTGTAGTTTCTTCACCTGGCTCCAAACCACAGCTTTCCTCTTTTCTGCTCCAACCTTCTCCAGGTTTCTGAACATCTGCATTTAAGTGATATCTGGTTATTCATATCGGAGCCCGGCGGTCCAGGTAGAGACTATTTGATGAAGCTCTGTACATCTGTGCACAATAAAGTCAGTGAACAAAAGGCTTGTGAGGTCCTTGGCAAAATAAGAGAAAGAAGAGAGCAGGAGACAGCAGCACTGAGCTTAGTCGAGCAACTGGAGCCAAAATCTTTCATCGGAGAGGTCTCAGCACCTGGCACATATTTTGCTGATAGCTGGGTCCGTGCTGGGTCTAGAGCCTGTGCAGAGGTGTCTTCTCTACTGGGTGAAAAGCAAAGCATGGAGAGCGTAGGTGATACCAATATTGGGAGGTGATTTTTATTACAGCCAGTGAAGGCGTTCATAGAAAGAAAAGATGGGTTGCTAAAGAGCCCCTTATTGTGGCAGGGAAATTCAAACCAAGAAGCACTGGCTGGAAATTAAAGCCAGGCCAATTCATGTTAGGAACGAGGCAAAATGCTTTAGCACAGCAGGGGATTAACCGTCGGCCGAGGGAGAGGGTGGGCGGGAGCCGCGTTTCCTGCGTGGCTCTGTCCAGGGAAAATGTGGCCAGGCGAGCCACACGCCCTGCCCGCGGCACCCGGGGACCGCACACAGATTCGGAGCTGGGATCCAAAAGCATCATGACCTGCTGCTGGGTCCCTGTCGGTCCCAGCAGCCAGCTCCCAACGATAGCAGTGTGCCCAAGCATTGCCTGCACTCAGCATCTCGAGGCCCCCACCACCAGTTTTCTCCGAGGCTGTAGCACCAGCATGATGGATCCCATCATGACGTGTCCCAGCCTCATCCCCAGCAACGACTTTCTGACGCCTAGATGGGTCATTTATTGCATTGCCCTAATTCTTCCATCCCTATGCGCTATTGTCAGGAAAAAATAGGATGGCGATTTTTCCTTTGGTCAGTCCAAGCCTCTCCCATTGGGCAAACACATCAGGCTACAGATGGAGCTGCCAGCTAGTCCCGGCTGGTGGCCAGTGGTGCACAGCACTGGCCAGTCAGGACCCAGGCACTCAGGGTGAGCACAGGAGACAGTAACTTCAATTAAAACCGCTCTCCTTGGGTTGGTTTGACCCCTTCTGTCTGCATAAACAGGTGGATCAGGAGGGGGCAGATGATGAAAAAGCACCCATGTGCGTGGGGTTAGGAGGCAATCAGTGTCCTGCGGATGCCCTTCGTGCCCTGGGAGTGCAGGTGGAAGGAGGGGACAAAGCCAAGGCTAAGCTGACGGAGCCAAAAAAAGCTGAGAAGTCACGGTGGAGGGGCGGCCGTCGCTCCCTGGCTGCTTGTGGTGCTTGTGAGGAGCTCGCAGGAAGGCCAAGTGCAGGGACACTGGGCATGGAGAGGGGCTCGACCAGTCCACACCTTCTCCCTCCTGGGAGGGTTTCTACCCTGAGGCATACACAATCTTTAGGTCCTTTGCTCTGGATGAGGACAGGGACGGCTGTTTCGGGGAGCTTCTTACAGCTTCTTGTGAGGTTCAGCTTCTTCCCTTCTCCAGACACTGGATTTTTCTGTCCCTGGAAGATCAATGTAAAATTGATCCTGGGAGCAGGGCTGCAAGCAGCTCTGCACACTCCACTTATTCCTCCACATTCCCGCGCAGCTCTGCCCTGGTGGGACCAGCTGAAATATTTCCAAAGATCTTGAGAAAATCCCAGGACTTCTGCTTTTCTGGCTTTGCAAAAACATTTCTTGCTTATCAAGCAACCCAAAGAAATGCGAAGATTTTCACTCACTCTTCGGGTGGGCTCAGCTTTGAATTTGAAAAAGGGATTTGCCAATGCAATCTTGCAAAATAACTTGAATACTGAGTCCAGCTCTCCTAAAATATAAGTTTTAGGAGGAGGTGAGCTTTCAAGCTCTTTGGAAAACATGCGTTTCTGCCAGCTTCAGGGAAGAACTAGGTCTTCTGGGAGGCCATGCCACCCCCTGGAGAAATGTCTCTGCATCTTGGTCAACAGGGACTAAATCCTGCAGTTTGTAGCACCAAAGGCAGAGCTGCTAGTGGGTCTCATCTTTGAATGATGGAGATGTGCCTGCATGGTCACAGGCTACAGCAGGGAAGACAGGACCTCCAAGTGAGGGACTTAAATCTTTTTTTATCTCTGAGCTGAGTCCTGAGGCCGTGCCGTTGATACAGGTGTTGCCTGGGTGGTTAGCTACAGCCAAGAGGACACCCTTCATGTTGCAGCCCTGGTGCACCTCTCAGCTAGCCTCATGCCTGGCGGAAGGCTCTGCCCTGAGCAGAGGAACCAGCCCTCAGCCCTATGCCTCCTGCACAGAGGGAAGAGCTTTTAATCTCAGCATCTCGCCTCTCTGTAAAACAAGGATTGGGACTTTAAAAACACCACCTCCTTCCCAAAAGCTTAGCTCTTGTGTTCTGCAGGGCAAGAATCACCTCTAATCCCCTATTTGTACTGTGCCGACTGCGGCCGAGCCGCTGTGCTGGCAGGGGCTGGTCAGCATGCTGCGAGAAAAGGAGAATACCAGAGCTGAGCGGCTGCTGGGGTGCTCGTAGCAAAGCACAAAGTGCTTTTCCTGAGGTTAAGATGGAAGTGGAAAAACCTACAAGGGGGGAAGCAGAAAGCATCTGGTGCGTGCTCCCGCGCTTCTTTTAGATGCAAACAGGCTGTTTAAGTGCACTTGCAGCCTCAGCAAATGTGTCTGTGGGACTGGCCAGATCTAAAAAGCAGCAATTCCCTCTGCGGGCAGGAGCCGTGTCTCCGGTCTCCTTGATGGTTGTCTCCTGTTTTGGGAGATGACAAATGCACCCGCGGGCTGGTGGGCTCATCTAAGGAGAGGCAAATCGCGGTTCAAAGTCTTGGCCCCGCTCGGTGTCAGGAATCTCACTTTCTCACGGCTGGCAAACCGCTCTCGGACCACTCTTCTCACCATTAGCACGTTGGTGGCTGCTTCTCCTGCTCTGCCAGCGTTTGGTGGGGACGTGAGGTTGGGCTTCACCACGTCAGCCAGAGGAATTCAGATTGCAAAGCACGGAGAGAGTGGTCTCCATCCCGCTGGTCAGACGTGTCCGGAGGATTTTGCTCTCCCTTTTGCTTTCACGTTGTGAGTTAGCTGGGGATTGTTCCTGATAAATAACCCGGAACTGCACTGTAATTTTCTGGGTTGAAATTTGATAATTAAGCAAATATAACGTCTTTGTCTTGGGCAAGCACCATAAGGTAAACAGGAAGGAATGAGGGATTAAGATGTCTCTGAAGGAAGGTGACAAGCCCAGAGCCGTGACACCTTCATGCCGAGCCGAGAGGCCCAGCTGTGGGTTGGCATTGCACAGATGCATTGTTCGGGGGTGAAGAGCAAATAAAAGCAAAGGGAAAAGAAAACAAGCTATAAAGTTCTCGGCAAAGCACAGAGCCCCAGCAACTGCCTCTTGATGTTCCCGTGACAGCTCTGGGGAGAGGCAGGCGAGGGGTCGAGCTTTTGAAGTCCTTAAGTTGTCCTTTGCAAAGGCCCCCTGTTAAAATAGTCCCTCTGTTGACATTAGGCTGCATATGGTGGAGAAATTGGACATCTCCTGGCAGGTTCAGTCACAGCACGTGCAATCAAAGCAGAGAGGGACTTTTTGGTATTTGACTAACTGCGCGTCAGGCTGGCCCTGTCCCAGCGGCAGGATGAGAAATGCGGAGGCAGAGGTGAGGTTTTATCAGCATGTTCAGGGCTGCAGGCCTGTAACAGAGCCTGGTGCTACAGGTACAAAGCATGGGAAGGGAAGCTGGGGAAGAAGCTAGCTAGGAAGGTCTTGAAATGATATTTGGAGCTCAAACACACATATGTGTCGGGACTGGTGAGAGTGGGAATACTGGGAAGGTGGGGCAGGTGATGTTGGAAACATCCTTTCCCCTGGGGGCAGACAGAGGGGGGTCCCGGGGTACTGGGAAGCAGGGGGTTTCGCAGCAGTTTGGGGCGGGCTTTGTACCGAGCAGTAGCACGATATGAAGCACCACGGGGTGAGAGCAGGTGAGAAGGGAGACAAGCAGTGCTCGCATGGGGCAAAGCGCTTGTGACAAAGCTGGAGGAGCAGCCGGGGGGTAGCGCGTTGCCGTTTCCTACCCACGGATGGGCTCCCAGCCCTCGGAACCCTGGCTGCACCCAGCTTTTAATTCACATTAAGAATAGGGAGAGCCAAAAACCATATTTGTTGCAAGTCACGATGGTGAAATGAGGTCTCGGTGACTTCAGCTTCCCCTCCAAAAAGCTGGACTCACCATATAGCACTGGAGGGATGTGGGTTAGCAGTTGGCTTCCCATAGGCAGAGGTGCCACCAGAGCACCCCATCCTGTGACAGCCCTGCTGCAGCGGGGCACCCTGGGCAGGACCTCGAGGGTGACCAGCCCCCCACACACAGGTTCCCCTGGGGTTGGCATCTCCATGGCCGGGCACAGATGCTGACGGTCTCCACTCTCTGCCTCTCGCAGCCTGCAACTGCAACCTCCACGCCCGGCGGTGCCGCTTCAACATGGAGCTCTACAAGCTGTCAGGGCGCAAGAGCGGCGGCGTCTGCCTGAACTGCCGGCACAACACTGCGGGGCGGCACTGCCACTACTGCAAGGAGGGCTTCTACCGGGACCTCAGCAAACCCATCTCCCACCGCAAGGCCTGCAAAGGTACCGGGTCAGGGGTGGGATGGTTGGGACTGCATGGCTCCTTCTCCAACCCCTTCCTGCTGCTCCTGCTTCCACAGCTCCTGCTCTCACCAAACTCCTCCCTCGCCCAAACCAAGCCCTTGAAATGACCTTTCTTGCCCCCATGTTCCCTGCCATCACCTCTCCCTGGTCTCCTCAGCCTGCTGGTGAGGATGAGGCCACCAAAATATGAAAAGTCCTCACTGCTGAGGATGACTTTACATTATTTCAGGTTTTATTACTTATATAAATCATGCTTCATCTGCTCCAATAGCCACAGCTAACCTCGTCATCACATACTTAAGGGCAGAGTTGCAGGTACGGGGATAGATGTAGCGTCTGTAAATTAGCCTCCTCCAAACACCCATCTCCTGATCCCACCCTCCAACCTCGCCCCCAGCGCTGCGGGGGGGCACAGGCAGCGCTTAACCCACGCACAAAACATGTCACTCCTCAGGACGAGGCGAGAACAGTAAAATGGGAAAAAATTTTATTTTGAGCTCAGCAAATGGAGTTTTTTGAGGTTTCCTCTTCAGTTGGGAAGGTGAGCGGGGCTTCAGCTGGGGCGGGAGCAGCAATAAGAGCAAATCCTGCAAATGAACTTTTTTAACGCTCAGCTGTCTGGTGGAAGAGATACAAATCCTGAACCTGAGACACATCTAAAGGAATCAAGCAAACATTCAAAAGCCAGATTAGAAGATGCTGGGGTTTCCCGCAGAAAACTTCAGCTCTTTTCTCTCTAAAGACTCATTTCAACAAGAAAATGAAAGCTTTTTGGCCTGAGATGGGTATTTTTGGCTGGAAAGCTTTGGGTCTTCAGCATTTTCAATTTTTTAATGAAAATGTTTCTTCATGTTTGTTTTGTTTTTTTTTTCCACTGAAAACAGACACTCTTTGCCAAAGCAGAAAAAGAAATAGCTTCTTTAGACAGCCCTACTCCCCCTTTTTTCACCTTGTAAAAACTATTTCAATAAGACATTTTCGACCCACCCTGTGCTGAGGCTGCTAACAAGCTATGGCTTCAGCCAAAGCTCAGGATGGTGGGATGTAAACCCAGCCTGTGTCTCTGGCGGGGAGAGGAGCTGCCTTTTCGGGGTCCAAGGAGCCAGAAGGCAGGGGTGCAGGGGTGCAGGGGGGCTGAGCCACTTCCACACCAGCCCCAACACCCAGCATCCCGGCCGGATCCCTGCTCCGGCAGCGAGCTGCCTGCCGTGCCCAGCCGCACCTTGCCCCCCGGTCCCAAGCGGATATGTGTCATAATAAAGTTCATATTTCTGCTTTCACGGCCGGGTCGCAGCCGAAGTAACAGCGCATTAGGTTGACGCAAACAAAGGGAAATTGTGAAGGCGTGGGATCTCCTCGAGCAGGGCCGGGCACTGAGGCATCCATCTCCCCCCGGCAGCGGTGTGCTTGCAGAGGCATTTGCTGATGTCCAGAGCCTGATTCTCATTTACCTTCCTGCTCCCGAGAAAGGGTTTTGGAGTGCTGGGGCGGTGGGGGGAATTCCCAGCCCTCCCCAAGCACGCTGAACTCCTTCCCAGGGCTCTGGTTTATCCCAGCTGCCTCCCCAGCACGGGGGTTCCTGGGGACGTGGTGGGATTTGGGGGAGAAGACTGCTCTTTCCCAGCCATGAGGTCACTGTGCATCTATAGGGATTTCTCTGGGATCAGCACAGGGAACACGGAGCAGGGAGGGGATGCTCAGCTGGAGGGTAGGGTAGATCCCGTCCCCTGGCCATCCCCAGCTTTTCCATCATGGGAAAAGGCAGTCCCTGCCCTGTGTTGGCAGTGATGTCCATGTTTCACACTCTCTGTCTCATTGACTCCGGCATCTCCCAGGACCTTCCTCTCTCCTGCTTTTCCTAGCTCTCCTACCCGGCCAGGCAGCCAGCTCCCCCTGTCCTGCCCATTTATCCTTGCTGGCCCCTGGCCCCTCGCCCTTGCTAACCTCTCCGTGGCTGATAGCACAGTAGTCTTTCTTACCCAAAACGCACAGCCGGGTGGCAGGTGGTACCTGAAGGTGGGAAACCTCAGAGCCATGGCGTGCCTCAGTTTCCCCAAGCGAGCACCCAGGAAGACGTGCGCTGGCCTTCACGAGACACTCTGCAAGGTTTTAAGGCTGAATTTCCCAGTTGCTGGGTCATTCGCTCTATTAAACGCTCTTTGCAATTGTCCTTTTCTCATCCCCCTGCCTTCTCGAACCGCTCCTGCTCTTGAAATTTGAGATCGCCAAATTTAAATACTTCTCCAACCCCCCATGGTTTATAACAAAAATGTGGCTATTGGAGCTAACAGATACAAAGGTATGTAATAAATATGCTGGTGCATGAACAGCTTCCCGACTCGCAGGCTATTAGCACAATTTCACAGTAGTTGGAAAGGTTTATTGTTGGCGTAATCCATCGTCCTATACAAAAGCGGGTGAAATGAAGTTTCCTACAGCAAAGGCATTCCTTTGAAAACTCGTTTTCCTGAGCTCTGTTTATGACACAGGGGATTTTATGTTCCGTCTATTTTTCTTCCCTCATTCAGGGACTGTTCTGAAATAATTGTGGAAAACAGGCATTTTTAAAAAACAAACCCTACCATCTAACAACTTCAGCCATTTCTCCATTGATAACAATATTAATTTATCATCTCACCAAGCCATCTGCCGATGGGCAAAGCTCTCCCAGAGTCTCATCTCGACTGAATGTGTTCAGAATTAAGGAATTAACCATCCTGTAGCATCTGCCATCTCCCTCACAACTGCCTGACGTCTCATCTCACCCAGCAGATTGTGTTTTCTCTATAAGACTTGATTCTTTCAACCATTGCATTGCTCTGTTCATGTCCTACACGTAACACATTTAAACAAATGCATATAATAGAGCACCGGTGCCTTGTGAGCCGATAGAGAGCTGCCAAGGAAGCATGCAGCACTCAACCACGCTGGCAAGCGTGCGTGAGCTCGGGCGAACTCACAGCAAATGTTCCATGAAAGAGCTTTTGAAGAGATTTTTGTATTAATTCAACTTCATTAATTCAGCCTAACAGACAGATCCAGCTAAACTGCCTTTCCTCTCACTCGTGTTTCTCATCTCTCACTCCATCCTATGCACTAGGCTATATGTACCTCAATTCATAATGCATCTAACATCAGAAAATTATAGAGGCATGACTTGCATTATTTTAAATGGTTGGTTTTGATATTTATGCAAAAATGTCACATTACAGAAATGTTTGCACAATGTCTACTTTTTTTTAACTCGGAGAAAAAGACAATGCTACAAACTTTTGCATGTGTTGCAGGGCATGGTGTGAGGCTCGGGCAGCAAAAGGTGAGCAGAAAGTGGAGCTGGGCAGTGCTCTCCTGCCCAGGTGGAGGGCTCATTGGTTTTCTAATAGCCAAATCTATAACAATTTTTAATTAAAAGATTTTTTTAATGATCTGAAGTTGTTTCAGCAGAACAGGTGAAGGCATAAGAAGTCGGGCTTTAAGGATGACTTTTACCCTGATGGTTAAAAGTGATGCAGCCATGCCATGTTCCTTGCCCGTGCATTTGTTTCCAGTTATTTTTCTTGCAAAAACAATAAAAGCAAAAAAGTTGTCAGTGATCAGAGATGCCCTGTCGCAGAGCCACGCAACAGGCAGGGGATGGCATGAAGTCTGCAAACCACATGCAGAGGAATTGATGACAGATGGAGCAGGGATATTGCATGAAGTGGCAACGCTGGGTGCATGCCAGAGCCTGCCAGGCTGGAGCTGGGAGCTGAAGGAGGGCTGTGACTGCTGCGGGTGGGTGGTCAGGCAAGCCCAGGGACACCAGTTACTCAAGCAAGGGCTCGGGCTCCCCTGGAGTTTTGAGGTCAGACCGCACATCTGATCTCTGCGTGGCCCCGGGCAGGGACTCTGGGGCTGGAGGAATCTGGTGGTAGCGGCGGTCCTCCGCCATGGGGGATGGATGGGCTCATGCCAGCGGGCGCCAGAGTAGGATGCCCTTTGCTGTGGCAGATATATCAAACCCCTGGGTCCTGTGCACACCCCGTAGGTGTGTGGGCTGTCCCGAGAGACAACAAAAACCCAGACATAAGAAATTTCGCCTGTTTGCCTTTTAAAACTCAGAACAAGGGCGAATTTTTCCTCCTTTCTCGCTGGTTTTTGTGAGAGCATGAAGAGCTCCCAAAACACTGAAGCCCTGCTTCCCATTCCTTCTGCTTCCCCTCTGCTCCAAATGATGTTGCAAGTGAAATTCCACATCTGGGTCCTGCAAACCTCCGTCCACTCCACTCCTCATGGGCTGCTGTAAATCAGGGCCCTGGTGTTAGTTCTTTTGATTAAATTCACTCCTGATATTTGCCAGATTATTGGCACTAATGTAATTCTATTGGAACAGAGACTCTGCAGGATTTTATAGCCTGGCTGTAAAACAGCTCTGCACTTCGGGGAAAGGATTTACACACTTTTTGATGAAAAGATGACAAATGATACATGTTATGAACACCCTTGTGCTGAAGCTGCCAGGGTAAACCTCTTGTGGAGGGGCAGGATTTGGCACCTGGAGAGGTCACATTCATTAGGACTTGGTGTTTTGGTAAAAAATGGTATCGCCTGCCTCCCCCACACTGTTGCAGCCCCATGCCCGTGCCGAGCCTGGCAGACTTTTCCATCTGTGTTGGAGGATTATTTAATGGCTTGTGCAAAAAAAGAGCACTCCCAGCCTACCTGCCCGTCCTGGCTTGGACCCGCAAATGTTCAAGACTTTGACATTTGCTTTTTGGAGACAATTTGGGTTCAAGCAGAGAGAGGATGAGTGCCATCCCCATGGGCTCAGCCTCCGGTCCTTGATTTAATGGATTAGATGCAGGTTTTCTTCCCACCCAGCTGCGGGCATTTAGTGTGGGGGGGACTAACACAGCTGAACCCCTTTGGCTCCTTGTGCTGCCTGGAGAGGAGAGGAGAGCAGAGCCCCTGGTGACAGGGACAGTGGGACGAGTCCCCCG